TGCAGGGTGGCGCGGCGCGGGGCGTGCCGTGGCGGGGCGGGGCGGCGCGGTGCTCACTTTGCCCTCCAGCAGCGCGAGTGGCGTCCCGAGGTCAGTGGACCGACCGCGCAGCGTGCGAGTCGAATAACCCGATATTAATTAATGAATCAATTCTAAGCTCGATTGTTAATATCAATCCGCCGTGTCTGTCTGTGAGTCGCCCCGAACCTCCACCCCTGCGCCCCTATCGGCGTGTCGACCTGACCTCGCCGGACCCCTGTGTGTGGGTCTTTGCCGGGGTGTGTCGCCCCCCTCCGGCCCGACGGCGGCGGCGACTGACTGAGCGCAAGCGAGCGGGAGGACAACATGATTGGCCGAGCGACAATCATCACTTACAGGGTGACAATGACAAGACCTGAGCTTCCTTCCGTCCTCCCTCCCCCGAGTGGAGCCGCTGGCCGGCGCACAAAGGGCGGCGGTCAGCCCCGCAGCCCTTCCTCCCCTCCGCACCGCCGGCCCTCCCCTCGCGCCGCGCTCGCCTCCTCCACCGCGCCGCCGCGCCGCCGCCGCGCCAGTCGTCGCGTGGAGGTCGAGGGGTGCGGTTCGTAGCGCGGCCCAGCGGTCCTCCCCGAGCGAGAGCAGCGTTAGCCGAGCCGACAGGAGGCCGTGCTCCTCCTCGAGCTTCTCCCGCGTTTGGTGACAGTGACCCCGCTCCTCCCCGCGCCCCGTCCGGCACGGCCCCCGACACCACCGCCCTTCGCTGCTGCTGCTACTTCGATAACTCCCATCTGCCATTTGGCCGACCTTTACCCCCGGCCCCTTCTATACCCGCCGGCCCGGCCCGCCCGCGGCCCCAGGGTGCCCAGGGTGCTCACTGGACTCAGCACCACGGCGCCGGTCAGCTCCGTGGACGCGGTGGCGGCAGCGGCGGTCGCCGGTCGCCCGCCCCGCCTGGGCTTTGGCCAGCAACAGCGCAGCCTCCTCGACAAGCAAGGTGAGATGCAGGAGGGTGAGGGTGTACGGCCAGGGTGGCGGCGCGTGTTTTTGTTCGTCGCGAGGGAGGTCATTGCCCTCCGATAGTGCTATCGTGTGAAAGGATGTGAGTGTGCCATTTCGTCGCCCATCTGCAAGAAAACAACGCCGACGGCGCAGAGCCGAGAAAGGGGTAGGACCCCGCGGCCCCGCCCGGCACATCTGTTCCGCGGTGGAATTCCCCTTGCTTGCGGCTGGCACGGGCAGACAGCTAGCTAGGTCCCAAGACAACCTCTGCCCGCCTCCCGCCGCCGCAGCTGCAGGGGCGGCGGC